TTCTTCTAGTTGAGCTCTGATCATCTAGTCATTGATGCCAGGTCAAGTGAGCATTATCTGCAAGTGTGGGTGTTCTTAGCATATGTTCTCTCTTCTTATCAGCTGGACACTTCATTCTCCACTCTAGTCCTCTGTGGCTATGTCACTGACTCTGGGCTCAACCCACTTGCTTTTGATGATGAAACTGAAATATACATGTGAGGCATGAGAAGTGGGGCTATCCAAAGGCAACAACTGAAACCTGTTCAGACAGGGAGGAAGCATTGAAGGGAGACTGACTCAGAAATGAAAATATTTGTTGCCAGGACTTTTCTGGCAAATGACGGCTTAGGCAGGGGTCAGTAGGGGTCTTCTTGTACCTAGATCCACTCTCACTGCCCAGGTGGAGAATAAAGAGGAAGAAACATTTTCTGGAGTCTGTGCAAGGGTTTAACAGTCCACAGATGGGAAAAAGATTTCACCTTCATTTCAAAGGTATTGCACGTAGTGATGGACTCCTATCTCTGTAAGATCAGCACTGGACTGTGAACCACAAGGTCAGCGGTTCAAGCCCACCAACTGCTCTGATGGAGAAAAATGAGTCAGAACTGACTTGACGGTAATCAACTTTAACCAAATTTAGTATATATTCATTATAGTAAACTTGGAAAATGCAGAAAAGCCTGATAGAAATGAAAGTCACCCATTTTATTTATCTTATTTTACTTTAACTTTTTATCGTGAATTTACAAAGCAGATCATGAGTTTTACAGTCAACAAATCATATACTTCATTTCATTACAATGACTGCTTTCCCCTTCAGGTCCCATAATTAACAGTACTTCTCTCTATTCACTCTTTGACTCTTCGTGCATTCCTTCCTGTGTCTTCCGCTACCTTGGCCACGATAGTTTTTTTTTTAACATGTAAATATATGAATACACACATATATCAACATGAGGAAACCTTAGCAGAAAGAGGTTAAATGAAAAACCACCCATTTTAAATCACCATTGTTATTTTTTTCCCTCTTTTTCAAAATGTATAGAGTAAAAAGTGAAAATATTGCCTTCCCTTGGGCCCAGCTCGATTCTCACAGGGTAGCCCGTGCATTTTGCAATTTGCTGCACAAGCTGCCTGTCTTTTCTGCTTCTATACATGGAAGTAGGCTGGGATTTTAAATTTTATTACTATATTTTGTTAGGTGTTCCAAATAATATTATTTTGAAACTTGCTTTTGTACTTAATAAACATACTTTGCGTATCTTTCTGTGCCAGTGCATATTGCAAACTTCTGTGTAGTATTTAATACATAGGTTTAATACATAGTATTTAATACATGTTGCTAAGTGCCGTCAGGTCAGTTCTAACCCATAGTGACCCTGTGTAGGGTTTCCGAGAAGCACCTGGTGAGCTTGAACCACCAACCTTGCCGTTCAAACTGACCTTGCAATTCAGTGCATTAATCCAGAGCGTCACACCAGACATAAAATAGATGTTTTCAGTTTAAGTATAAAAATGTTGGTTTCGCATATTTTTAATTCTTTAAGTATAAAGCATGTTTAAAAGTGTTCTGAGGGTGGTAAGGAGTGTTAACCAAAGTGCAAGAGCCAGGCTACATACCAGCATTCACTTCTTTACATTTCTGTTTGAGTTCTAGAGGCGTTAGACGATATTGGTCCAGCCCATCGTTCCACTTTATTCTCTCCAGCACATGAAGGTCTCCACCAACCAGCCAATCACCACTTTCCATCACCATCTAGAATGAACATTGGTAAAGTTGGTCATGGTTAATATGAATTTCTATTTTATCTAAACATTTTTCTACTTCTTCTGCATCAATCTTGGGCTGTTGTTGAAGACACTAAACATTCTACAATGTACAAGACAGTCCCACAATATATAATTATCTGGTCCAAAACATCAAGAGTGCTGAGGTTGCAAAAGCCTGGACTAAGTAGAAAGAGGTTGGCTGTACAAGAGATGTGGCTGTGTTATTATGGCTGCATCTCTGGGACCAGTGCTCAGACAAATTACTGAGCAAGAATATTGTCATATATCCATACTTATATCTCCTTGGAGTCCTGGTGTGGCATTGTGGACTGATAATGGCAAAGTTGGTGGTTCGAACTTGCCAGACACTCCTTGGAAACTCTACGCAGGGTCGTTTTGAGTTGGAACGAACTCTACAGCACTTAACAACAACAATGTTTATGGAAGGAAAGCGTCAGGTCTTTCTTTCATGGAGCCCTCAACCTTTCAGTTAGCAGCCAAGTACATAAACATCTGATCCACCAGCACTCCTTTTTTGTTTAGAATTAGGAGACAGATACAACCCCTGTGAGTACAGTAACTCAGTTTGGACACTAGGGGTCTACCTATATTGTTCTCTTGATTGGTAAAGGCACATTGAACCAACTTGGTTTACAACTCAGCTTAAAAAATATACTTGTTTGGAGAGTAATTCTGAAACTGTAAGGAACCCGAAGACCATGGTGGGCTAAATGCTCTCACTCTCAGAGGAGAAGGCAGTCCTATGAAGGTGAGACAGCAAGTTCAAGTGAACACAGCTGTCTTATCAAACCTAGGACTCCTGGAACCAGGCTCTTCTTCCCACTGCACCACTTCTCTAAGTAGTCATCTCTGGGCTGCCTTCTGTGCATTACCTTGACAGGGATCTTTCACCATCTTCCACTGTCAGCATTGCTTATGTACCTGGCCCTGTGCTTGCTGCTGGGGATTTGATAGGAATCAAGACAAATGTGGTCCTCGACCTCATGGTTGGTAGTCCAAGTGGTTTGACAGAAGAGTAAATTAGTACAAATTCCATAGGAAGATGTGATAAGTAGGACAAGGGCAAAGTGTTCTGGGAGTACAAAGAAGGGCACTTCCCCAGCCAGGCTTATGGGACATGGTCTAAGAGCTAATCTCTTAAAGGAAGTAAAGGTATATATAAGGTGAGGAGGCCTAGCTGGGAGGAACAATGTCCAGGTTGAGGAAGTAGCAAGCGTATGACACCTGGAATTACTAGGAGAATACAAGGGAACTAAAAAAAGTTCATGGAAAATGGAATTAAAAGATAATGGAGCTTTTTTCATGAACTTTTTGAAGCCCACTTGTATGTTGGATAATGGTGGTGAGTGGGTACGAGGTACGAAGTAAGATGAAGTCACATTTTTACAGAGGTTCCCCAATAAAGATTGAACACTCTAGCTGCAGAGTGGAGAATAGTTTGGAAGGGAGTAAGGCTAGAGGCAGAGTCCTGGTGTGGTGCTGCAGGATAATGCCGTGGATTGCAAGCTTGGCTTGAATCACAAGATCAGTGGTTCAAACTCACTAGCTGCCCCTCTGAAACTCTATACAGGGTGGGTCTCTGACTTGAAACTGACTCGACGGCACTTAACAACAACAAGGCTAGAGACAGGGAACATATGAAACGGCGTCATCCAGGAAAAGTTAGATTAGAAAAGAAGTAAAAAACTCAAGTGATATCTAGGAGGCAGAATTGGTAACTGAATGAATGCAAGGAAAAAAGAAGTAAGGACAGCATCCAGGTTTTAGATGTGGGCCACTGTGAGAAGATGGAGGAGCTACACCAGGACTGGGAACAAGGTGGATGAGTTGAGTGTGAGATGCTTGCAGGATAAATCCAGGAGGAACCATACAGGAAGCAGCTAGATATACTCCAAGTAATCATCGAACACAATGGCTCATAGCTTTAGCAGCACATTAGCATCACCAGATAGCTTTAAAACCCCCAGTGCCCAGACCCAACCCGAAACTAATTGAATCAGGATCTGTTGGGGTGAGAGTCAGTCACCGAACATCTTTAGAGCCTCCTAGGTGATTCCATTGATTTAACAGGCCCTGGAGCCTTCACTGTGGAGCCAAGGGATAAGAAAGCTCTCATTCCTGTCCCTCTTCATTGAAAGTCATACTCTGTTCTCTTGGTTTCTTCATCTGTAAAATGACAATAATGATTCTTAGCTACTTCACAAGAGTATTCTGAGAAATAATTACTATTTGGAGAAGCTTTGAGAGCCATGGATGAAAGGTAGCCAGCTTCTCCAAGCATTATTTTTACAAGTTTCACCTGCTCCTCCTCCTCATGATTTCCTATGCGATCAGGTCACATCATTCCAGTTAGTTACTGGAAAGAGAGGACTAGGATGCCTGAAATAAAGAGTCAATGGCAGCGTCAGCCAGGAGCTATGTCATAGAGGCTGACCAGTTCCTTGGGACTCTCATAATTTTCCATAGAATGCCACAAGGAAACACAAAAAGGCTCATGATTTATTTTTAAAGGCATGGGTTTTTTTTGGAAACATTCACTTTTCAGGATTATTGTTTCCAAGGTGCTGAAAAAATTATAATGAAAAGATTTTGTTTCCCAATAAAACCTATGTTTCATGCGTCTGGTAAACAGGCCTCCCACAATCCAAATGTAGTGCTTTCATGGCAGTGGGGCTCACTGGGAACTGTTATAGAGTTCTCGCATGACCTAATGGTCCAATCACAGATGGTTATAGAGGTTATAGCGTTCTCTCATGACCTAATGGTCCAATCACAGACAACCACGCTCTCCTGGGCTTCTAAGAAATGCTGAGTTCTGACTATTAACACACATTGCAAGACAATGAAAAGAAATAGTTGCTTAAAAGTTTCCTCTTATTTTTTTCTTTTCTTTTTCCCTTTTCTTTTTTTGTGCTAATCATATGTTATGTGAAAACTACCTGGTGTGGATCATTAGCATTGGACTGCCAATTGTGAGGTCAGCAGTTCAAACCCACCAGCCGCTCCTCAGAAACTTTATACAGGGATGCTATGAGTTGAAACTGACTTCATGGCACTAACAACAGATCTAATAATGGAAGTGTTTCCTGGCATAATGAAAGGCCATTATTCTTTGGGGCACTGAGTAAAGATAAGATTCCAAACAGATATGATTACCATCAGGAAAAGAATGAAACAAAGGCATAATTATACCCAGAACACAATGTTCCTTGAACACCTCTGTGTCTAGCAATTTTTAAGCCTCTGAGAAAAACTGTTCTGATAAGTTTGATCTGGTTATACTTTGTGATTAAAGATGATTATGTGCAGGGTACATTGTCTAACACTTGGAAAAATGGTTTTGCTTGACCGCTGGTCTCTTGTGCTCAGATAAAGAAAGTCCAGCGGTCACTAACAGGGGCCTTAAAAAGGCCCTTCCTACATTGGAACATTTCACAACTGAAAAAGCAAAACACATCTTTGCCCAAAAGTTTCTGATGAGGTTTACTCAAATACCCAGTTTGCAGACTGACAGGACTAGAAGTTGTTGTTATTAAGAGAAGATTCCAGCTCATAGTACCCCTATGAGCTGAGGAGCAGGTGGTGGGTTTGAACCATTAACCTCGTAGTTTGCAATCCAGTGCTTTCTGTACAGCACCACACCAGAAGACCAGGGCTAGAAAAGACCTGAGTTATTTTGAGTATGGCCACTTCTTTTTTATGTGAGGCATTGGTGGCTCAGTGGTAGAATTCTTGCCTTCTGTGTTGAAGACCCAAGTTCGATTCCCAGCCAGATCTTTTCATGCACAGCCACTACCATTGGCCAGTGGAGGCTTGTGTGTTGCTATGTTGCTGAACAGCTTTCAGTGGGGCTTCCAGACTAGGATGAAGTGGGAAGAAAGTCCTGTTCCACTTTTGAAAATCAGCCAATGAAAAGCCTAGGAATTACAATGGTCCTGTCTGTAGCCAATTGGGCAGCATTTTGTTCAACTATGTATGGGGTTACTATGAGTCAAGGCAACCTGCTGGCAGCTAGCAATGGTTAACATAAATGAAGAAACAGGCCTGGAGAGGAGATGCACTTTGTTGAATAACTAGGTTCTTAGTCTCCTGGGCTCAATGCCCATGAACTTTCTGCTAGTTATTCCAACTGAGGAATTTGACAAGTCATATTAGTAATATAAGCCTTGCTTTCTTTCAAGCCTCACCCTCCCTATCCTAATACCCTAATCTTGAGTGTGCTATGGTTTTTGCTATCAGTGCCACGTATTTGGAAATGAACCACACCCAGTAATTTCATAATATCCCTTGCACGCACACAATTAGCAGTTGTCAAGAAATATGAACAGTTTTCATTTATTTTGCCTTTGGCAGACCCTAGATGTGCCTAATAAGATGAATATTCTTTTCAATCTTAAAAATATTCACTGAAAATTTTACAATTAAAAAAAAAAAAAATCACCAAAGATCTGGCATGTTCCCTTTGGAAACTCTGCCCCTATGTGTTTACAGAAAGGATATTGACCCCTAATTGAAGTCCTGGAGTCCTGGTGTGGCGCTGTTGGGTAATGCACCAGAGTACAAAGCCATTTGAACTGTAAGATCGGCAGTTCATTCTCACCAGCTGCTCCTTGGAAACCCTATACAGGGTCGTTATGGGTTGGAACCGACTCAAAGGCACTTAACAACAACAATTGGAATCCTGGTGTGACACTGTGGGTTAATGCGCTGCACTGCAAAGTCGTTTGAACCAGAAGGTTGGCAGTTCAAGCTCACCAGAGCTCCTCAGAAACTCTATACAGGGTCACTATGGGTCGTAACTGATTCGACGGTACTTAACAACAACAATAAATGGCCATGGTACTGTAGGGTAACACTGGACTGTTAACCATAAGGTCAGTGGGTCAAACTCACCAGCTGCTCCTTGGAAACCCTCACAGGGTCTCTATGAGTCAACTGCCCAGCACATAACAACAACAACCACAACACAATAGCCATGGACTTTGAATTCTCTTCTCATTGACTGAGCATGGAGAAACTGATTTGTATGAAGAAACTGATTTTTCTATGACATTTTCAAGATGTACAAGGTTGCAAGCTCTAACTTTGTTTTTGTATAAAGCTACTTCTGTGAGTATATCAAATTTACTACTTGGGCCCTGTACTGGGGTACGATGCTAAATTATCTCCCTGGTCGACTTGTCTCCAGTTAGCTAGGCAATGAGCTGTTAAAGAATCAGAGGACTTAGATCCATTCTCAAGCAGAAAGACATTGCTTTGCTCTTTTCCAAAAAGATTTCCCAAGATAAAGCCTGCAAACCCTCCCTTAGAAATGCATTTTTCATCTAATCCTACTTATTCTAAGACCTTGAAATGGATCAAGAAAACGCTTCCAAAGATTTTGCAACTTACTTTGATATGGGGATGTTTTGCACATGTTGTCCCCCACACACGAGAGCAACGTTCTTCTTTTCTATGTTCATAGAATTCAGGATCTCGTAAGATAGCCACCCTTCGTCCACCATGCACCAGTGCAAGCTCCTTGCACCCATCCAGGCGTTTCTTATCATCCGTGGAGACGGGCAGCACAATGGGAACACTCATGTTGATCACTCCATCTGTGGAAAGAGCCATGTGATGAATGAACACAGGAGACAAGATTTGTCATCCTTTAAATTTGGACAGTGTCCCTCCTAAAAATATCCTTCCAAAGGCATAAGACCTAAGCCTGGCATTGTTTGTAAGTTGCACCAGTTTCTCCAGAATCTGGGATGAGAAGTCCTTGAGAGTCTTCTCAGTGTAGGAGATGGGGCTGTTGTGAAAAGTGGGTTGAGGTCTTTGGGGACCAGGAAGGGTGTCTCTTCTAAATTTCCCTTGATTCTGAACTCAATACACTAGGGAGCTTAATGTCTTTAAAAACCCAATCACACAAAATAAAGTTTGGTAAAATAAACCAAACCAAAACATCAGCTTCTACTGTTTCTTGAAAATTAACCTTTTTAACAATGTTGGGCAAGTCTCTTATTTCATTATTTGTTTAAGCTCTGTCTATACCAACATACTAAATTAAAAAAAAAAATAAAAAATTTAAGACAATGAACATAATGGGACCAATTCTAAGCAGTCCTTCTAATGTGGTTTGTTCACTGGGATCCAAGGTCAGGGTAACATTTAAACATCTTTAAAGTGACTGGTAGCCTGACTTCTCATGGAATACTAAATTATGTTATGACGGAGAACCGCCAGCAAAAAAGTGGACAGCTGAAACAACATGAAGTTCACTTAGTAAAATACATGAGCTTTCTTTGAAGAATGACCACTCCTCGCCTTGCTGTTGAGTCTCATACTTTAAAAGCAATTTAAATAAACTGATATTCTGGTGTCTCAGTGTACCATACAACAAATTAAAAGTTGTTGTATTTGGAATGTGTGTTCAGAGAAGTTACATCTATAGCAGCAATAAATGTGAAAGGGCAGCTTGACTGCAAGGAAGAGACAAGGGAAACTATTCCAAAAACCAGATAGGAACTAAAGCAAGAATCACGAAGCAGTGTGTCCTTTAGAGTAGGGACCAGTCATTCCATAGGATCTTCCAGTCCAGAGGACACTGTGAAAGTCCAACCTAATGACTGATGATATTCTTAACGATGACCCAGCCACTGAAAAAAGTTGGCTTGCATATAATAAATTCCTTGTGGTTGTTTTAATAAGACATTTTTTTGGAGAATATTTTTTAAATGTTTCCAGAAAAATGGTTAAAAGGTATAGTTGATTTTTAGCTGGAAGCTCAAGAGGATAAATTTTGATCCCCTGAAAATATCACATTTCTTAATGAGTCTAGAGAATGTAAGGTCCCCCCACCCCCTTTATAGCAGTGTCATAACATTCTTACATAGATGTCAATTTCTTATTTGTACTTACAAGTGAGAAAATGGGGCCATGGTTAAGTATCTAACACAAATGAACATTAGGAGCAATTTGGGGAGAATTTCCAAGTTTATGACTCATTAGGTGAAGTAAGGATGGCATATGAAAACATTCAACTCCAGAGGAAACAAATACAGTTAATGATGGATTTGAGAAAATGCACCATAGAACAGTGAAATAATTTCAATGCATCTTTCAAAAGCAAACATTTAGACAACACTGGTAGAGTTAAAGTTCTAAGTTCTATTTCTGTGGGGCATAATAAACTCCTTAGAATCTATGAAACTCAAATTCTCCAGGCATATCAGTTGGCACTTTTTAAACATTCTCCATTAAGTTACTAGCACGTAAAGAACGCCACAGGATATAGGCAGCAACTACAGGCAACAAAGAAATATCGTCTATCATAAAATCCTACAACCTGCTCTACTTTATAAGCCAAAAGTAGGATACTGCACACCGAAAGCAATGTTTTAATGAGCTTTTTCATTCAATTAAAGTTCATGGACAGTAAGAATAGCCTATGCCCTATGCAGCACACAGTAAGCTAAAAGACAGGTGGTGGTGGCTGTGTGCCGTGGAGTCAGTTCTGACTCATAGCGACCCTGCACAGGGTTTCCGAGGCTGTAAATCTTTATGGGAGCAGAAACCCTCATCTTTCTCCTGTGGAACAGCTGGTTGTTTTGAACTGCTGACCTTGCGGTTCGTAGCCCGATTCGTAACCGCTATGCTACTAGAGCTCCTTTCCTCCCATTACTACCTGTATCATTCCACTTCTCTGAGCTCACTTTCTTCACTTGAAAAACGGGACAATGAGTAATATGTGTCTCCTTGGGTTGTGGTGTCCCTGGGTAATGTAAATGGTTAATGGGCTCGGATGCCAACTAAAGAAAGGGTTGGAGGTTCAAGTCCCCTAGAAGCACCGGAAAGAAAGAGCTATGTCCCAAAAATCATCCATTGAAAACCCTGTGGAGCACAGTTCTACTCTGATGTACATGGGGATACCATGAGTCAGAATTTCCTCAGGTGCTGGGAGGATGCATCCGGCAAAGTTCTATATTATTGTAATTGACTTATTTTGCTCAGCATGTCTTCAAGTTCCATCCATACTGTAGTATGTATCAATACTTTATTGATACATGATATAATGAGTAGTATTCAGTATGTACCACATTTTGTTTATCCATTCATCTACTGATGGGCATTTAAGCGGTTTCCACCTTTTGACTATAGTGCTGCAGCGAACACTGGTATACGAGTTTGTTTTCAAGCCTGTTGGGAATATTCTTTTGAGTGGGATTGCTGGGTTATAGGGTAATTCTGTTTTTAGTTTTTTTTTTTGAGGGATAAAGTAGGCTTTTTAATGAAGGAAAACCAATAATGATAATAATACCAAAGATTAATGGTATCCTCAGAATTTTACCTTTTCATCCTGGTACAATGCAGAATTTTACAGTCACTGCATGTACGTGTTTATTCCCAGTTCTACAGTTATCGATCACAACCGCTTAAAATTAAATTCATGCATAATCACACATTGCAAAAAAATGAAGTACAATTATACACAATCCAACCAGGTGTATCTACTTTAAATTGCAAATAAAATTGATTTATGCTTAATCAATTAAAATTTTTTATAAACTCAATAGGGAAAAAAATTCCAAATTTGTGAAATGGATCTCAACTCACTGGAAGTGGTTAGTGGAAAGGATCATACATTTTAGAAACCTCAGGAATATAATATGCAAAAATAATTTCGAAGCCAGTTTACTTTTCTTCAGTCAGATACAACATAAACAACAGATGCATCTGATCCAGATGTTTCCTGTTATTTGGAATCCGATCAACAGAAAAACTATAGTATCCTAACTGGTTGGATTATGAATCGACACCAATTCCCACTAGTTAATTTAGAGTGTTTTTAGTTATGTTCTTAACCATTTCTAATTAATGTGACATAGCTAATTATAATAATAATAGAGCTGCTTGGAAAGTTGTTAAAGTACATACCAGGAAGGACCACGCCTAGAGAAATACAAACACAGTTAAGAAACATGTTTTCAGCTCTCTACCAAAATAATCTTAAAGTACAAATTCCTACTATGAAACTTCATACACACAACATATAAATATATCGAACTCTTTGTTACGGCTATTTTAAAAAGTAGAGGCCCTATGTCAGTAAAAACCTGGTGAAATAAAAATACCTTGGCTATTGTTCAGTATAGGCCAGAAACATGGTTCGGAAGATTGTTGTTGTTGGTGGGTACATGCCGTGGCGTCGGTTCTGATTCATAGCAACCCTGTATATGGTTTCTAAGGCTGTAAATTTTTATGGGTGCAGAAAGCCTCATCTTTCTCCCTTAGAGCAGCTGGTAAAATCGAACTGTTGATCTTGAGGTAAGCAGCCCAGTTCATAATCCATGAAGCTATGTGGGCTCCTTCAATTTTTAAATAATTATGTCAATTGTTGTTGTTATGTGCCGTGGAGTCGGTTCCGACTCATAGTGATACTGTACAGGGTTTCCGAGGCTGTAAATCTTTATGGGAGCAGAAAGCCTCATCTTTCTCCTGCAGAACGTCTGGTAGTTTTGAACTGCTGACCTTGCGGTTTACAGCCCAATTCGTAACCACTACGCTACCAGAGCTCCAATTATGTCAATAGCCTCTCCAATTTCAGCAAGAGGTTGTCCCTTGCAAACATGTGATGTTATGACCACTGTCAAATGATTTCCAAAGCAGGATTTAGGAGAAGGTATAGAAGCAACTCCATGACACGTAACCACCACTACCACCACCATAGAAGCAAAATACTCTGGAATATGTATGCATTCCAGAATAGTTACATAACTCTTTTTGTGAGGATCACATGAAAGATGTCTGAGGCAATGCTGTACACACAGTGAAGGACTGGGTAGATATGGCTTGTTATTATTTCTAAACCACAAGTCAGATAAGAGCTATTATGGAATGCTCTTGAATTGGAGAAACTGAAGTCTCAAGTTGTGGGACACAGTATCAATGACAGCAGTAGAATATGGGAAGAGGGCCCATTCTTATCAGTCTCTGAATTCTGATTCTGGCTTTATGCCCTGTTTTCCAGGCATGGGCACAAAGTCAAAACACAAACATCTTTTCCAAGATAGAACATCTGATTTTTCTTCCTAAAAAGTTGGAGCCCTGCTCAGTATTACAAATTCAGTATGACTCCACTACTACTCATATGTTCCCCAAAGTCCTGAAACAGACAGATGCCATTTGATAGCTTCAGGAAGTTCTAGGAAGGAAATGATCATAAAAGAGTCCTTCAATTTTCTAGAGAGCACAGGCTTTCGACCTTGACCAGGTCAGTAGGAGGAGTCCCGGATGTACTGAGCTCTTCAATCCTGACTGCCCCAGGATAAATTCTGGTTGACACCAAGAATGCTGCCTTAGGAACATCAGGGAGAGCAAAGGGCAAGTGGAGGTGAAACAGACTTAAACTTGGTTGTGTCTGCAAGAAAAGCCATAATTTCTCAGATCTCTAAAGTTCAAATAATCTATAATCCTTTGAGAATAACTAAAAAATTCCAAAAATGGAGGCTTATGTATCATAGAATTGGATACACCATAAATGATGCACATGTTTTCGCTGTAAGATTTGTGAACCATATGTTCACATTCCCTGTGTCTATGCACATGCCTAGCACAGACTGTTTTGTTTTCCATTAATAATAAAGAGTAAGAAACAAAAGTCATACCATCTAGCAGGGTGTCAAAGTGTAGAACCTGCAAGTACTCCTTCTCCCGCATGAAACCTTTCAGGGGAGTGGCCCAGCCTTCACTCAAAACTTGGACCCACTGGAGATCCAGCTGCAAAGCAGGAAAAACAGGTGAATATTTCTATAAGTCCTGCCTGTCAGCCACCTGGCCGGGGGTGGTCCTTTCTCAATCAACTGATAGGAGAATACGGGCAGAGTTCTCTCTGTGTTAAGTGTTCTCGGTTACACTGACTCATGATCCAAAGGCCAAATAGGTGAGAGTCTAGAATCTTCCTAGGGAAGAGTGGTAAAAAGATTTAAAATTGAGATGAATTGTTTGGACACTTTAGGCTATACCTAACCCTTGCAACTGAGTTGAAAATTCATTGTTCTTTTGTTGTTGTTTTTTAAATGAAAAATTCCGGTTTTGGGCATATTCTTTTCATTAACCATACTGGTTACTTGACTGAATTGGGGGTGTGGGGGGTTGCCTTTAAGATTGTTGTTATTAAGTGCCATCGAGTTGGTTCTGACTCAAAGTGACCCTTATATAGGGTTTCCAAGGCTTTTAAATGTTCGCAGGAACTGAAAGCTTCATCTTTCTCCCCTGGAACGGCTGGTGGGCTCAAACTATGAAACTTGTAGTTTTCAGTCCAGAGCTTATTGCATGGATCCACCATGCTCTAAGCATGGTACTGAAAATCCTGGAAGCTCTGGCCCCTGGAGTCCATACATGGACCTCTGTCTCCTCCCGCTCCCCATCTGGGGACTCATTTACACTTGTGGTTTCAGGCCTGTGTGTACTCCATTTACTCCCCACCTGCAAACTCCTATTCATCCTTAAAAACCCAGCATGTGGCTCACTACTCTGAAGGCTTTCCTGTTGTCTCTATAACCAAGGGAATTCATCACTAGATTTTTGGTAGTTTTTCGGTACCTTATAGACTACTGTTTTCCTAGTGGAGCTATCACACTACACTCACCACCTTGCAGTTATAAGTTTACCCATCTGACTGGAACACTGGGACAATCAGGATTTATTTTACAGAGTCAGGGGGTGTACAGAGTCTGTTTATAAATATCCCATGACTTATTAGAGTATGGAGTCCTCAAAAGCTGAAGCAGGAGCCTATTTACTCTGCCTTTTGTAAAACACTCCAAGGTTTTAGTGAATAATGAAAAGATATTAACAAAGACATGATCACTTTGTAAGGATTGACTAACATTAATCTATAAAAAGGCCAGAGTATGTATAGAGCAGTTGTCTCACATATGAGGGGGCTGCCAAAATTTCATGGAAATATTCTACTATCTTTTCATTTCATTTTCCCCATGAACTTTTGGAAGTCCCCTCATCTTCCAGGTAGTAAAATCAATGCAACCAAGCTACATCTCTCTCCTCTCAGACTGGACTCTCCTTGATGAGGTAGAGTAGAAAAAGATTACGGCATTCATATCACTTTAGATCAGGGTTACATTGTGTTTACTTCAGATTCCTTCTCAATTGCCTAGAAGCACTTGTATCCTGGACAAACTGTATTATCAGCTGCTACAATAAATCACTGCTTTCTGATGCCTGCACTTTGGCATCACCAAAGGTATAAGGACATTTATGTAAAACTGTTCAATGTAAAAGCAAATTTCTTTCCCAATCTGCCTCTACACATGGCATTGACCGGCTGCAATGTTGCAACACTTTATGAGAAATTTGAATGGAGAAAAGGTTTTGTAAAAAAGTAAAAGTGAAGTGTTTTCCTTACAGACATTACATTTTCCTTGTCCACACCGTCTTTGTTATTAAGGATAATTGTACATGCATTGAATACACCAAACCAAACCAGCTGTTGTCTAGTGCATTCTAACTCATAGCAATCCCATGTCAGAGTACAACTGTATTTCATAGAGTTTTCAATGGCTGATTTTTTGGAAGCACACAAGCAGGCTTTTCTTCTGTGTCATCTTTGGGTGGACTCAAACTTCCTACCTTTTGGCTAGCACCTGAGAGCATTAACTGCACCACCCAGGAACCCCACAATGGATTGTAGAGATCAATAATTAGCTGAATCCACCTTTAGCCAGTCAGTCTGTAGCTTTTTACCTTAGTAATGGGTAACGAAGGGAGACTCTCAGCCTCAGCTCGAACTTGGTTCAGTTTGTTTTCCGGCACAAAGAGTTCACGGATGCCTTTGATTGTAGTATGGGGTACAATGTTCTGAAATGAAGTACGAATGGTAACAATTTGAAATGAGAACTAGATAAAGAAGGCTTTAATAAAGAATCTCTCATCACTTTATTAAATTAGAAAGAAAAATGAGAAAGACAACCCCACGCACCTGCTCCTCCAGGAGTTCCACTACTTGCTTAACACAGTCACTCACTGAGGACACACTGGTTTTAAGCACACACTCTGGAGTTTCGGGTTTCTCATAATCAGCATCAATACCAGTAAACCCTGCAATGTACAAGCAGAAAACACATCTGCACAGACAGAACAACCCCTTTGTTCTTCACTGAGGATTAAAATTTTTTTGTACAAAACATTTGCTTTGTTTCTTTTGTTGGGGAGATGTTTTGGATAATCCATTCAAGAATGGTCACTTAGTCCAACGAGTTGTTGAGTGCCTTTTAATTGATTCTGACCTCATGTGATGAGTAGAACTGCCCATAAGATTTTCTTGGCTGTAATCTTTACAGAGGCAGATTGCTAAGGATTTTCTCCCGTGGAGTGGCTGGGTGAGCTCAAACTGCTAATCTTCTGGTTAGCAGCCAAGTGCTTAACTGTTAGTGCCACTAGAGATCCTTCGGTCCAAGTTTATGTTCTTTACAAGTGCTGTAGGATAAGCACTGGGCTGCTAACTGCAAGGTTAGTGGTTCAGACCCACCAGCCACTCCTTGGAAACCCCTATACAGCATTGCACGAGTTAGAACCAACTTGATGGTGCATAGCAACAATATCCTTTACATACTCACAGAAACACTGTTGGCACATTTTGAGGCCATATTTCCAGGTCAGACATCGATCGAGCACATGTGGCAAGAATGGGGACCTAGGTCAAACTGTCCTAAGTGGTTTCAGTAGAGTGGCCCATCTTGCTTTGAGAGACACATTAAGGCAAAGCTCAGAATAATCTTTTTAACCAATAAACCTTAACACATGTTGAAGAAATCTGTTAAACTGAGGATTCAGTATAAAATTTTCTAAATTAGAAAAGGTCTAGCAGCAGTCCTTGACCTCTAGCTAGAGATAAGAACTTATACAGCAGTGCTTTCAATATGGGAAGCCCCCCACATGATTAAGAAAATCTGGTTAGCTAAGTCTAAATCCAAGCTGATTAGAATCGAAAAGGACGACAAGAAGGAAAAACTCTGAAATACCCCCAAACACACACTCACATTTCGGTTCTCTGAACTTTTATTGTTTATGGCCGAGAAGGTGATCGTTCTTTAAAAATAACAACCCACCTTTTAATGAGTCCATGGACATACTGAAAACATCATGATTGACTAAAACGGCATGTATGTCGTATGCAATCTTGGAAAACAGCTTTTGAAACTTTTATACAATTTTGGATAACACCATTTGAAACTTCAAACAAATTTCTGGGTACAGGAGAAGGAAAAGTGACTGGAGAAGGGGCTGTACCTTTAATCTCTCCAGCTCGGGCCCGTTTGTAGAGGCCTTTCACATCTCTGCTTTCACAAATGTTTAGAGGCGCATCTACAAATATCTCAAAGAAAGGCAGTCCTGCTGATTCATGAATTTTGCGGGCATTCTCACGATCCTGGAAAAGAAATGTTTAGAATGTAAGAAGACATCTCACAGGAAATTCTTCAGCACAAACTGCTGTGTGCCCTGGTATTCAGTAGCCTTAGGATAACACTTGAGTTTTTTGCTTTGCAGAGGCCAGGGGTTCCTAGTCCTTCATAGAAAGTTCTTGTAAACACAGCTCTCTTGGAGCATTATACTCAAAGAATGTGTTCAAAGCATGGAAATTGTAGCTCACAGACATTTCCTGTTTTAAAATAAGAAGAGCGACACTCTGCCTCAGTGACTTCAACTTGAAAACACACAAAACCTGACGCTTTGGCAGTGAGTTGTTCTTTTCTTTCTAGAACATCTGAAACAGTCTGCTTCTACAGATAACTGGTACTACAGAGCTGTTGCGTGGTTCTTGTTGAACATGTTATTTCTTTCAACTCTAGCCAAAATGCTCTTTATAATTGTAATGTGAAGAGGTTTGTGCTCAGGCATCTGGGAATGAAGGCTCTCTCTTTACATAACCAATATGAAACAGAGGAAATGAGGGAGCAACTGAGAAAAGGAAGAAACAGTGGGGGAAATGGAGAGGATAATATTCCTTTGTGCCTTCCCCTCCTCTCGCCTCACGCAGTGTGTGGGAATTCTGGGCAGTGCCAAGTCATTTTACCTTCGTGAAAGGAGAAATGAAGCTGGTGATGCAAACCAGACCAGCGTCTGCAAACAGCTTGGCCACCTCGGCAATTCGGCGGATATTTTCTTCTCTGTCCCCAGGAGAGAATCCGAGGTTTTTGTTCAGGCCGTGGCGAACGTTGTCCCCATCCAAGGAGTAACAAGGGATGGCATGGGAGACGAGGTATTCTTCCAGAGCAAAACTTATCGTTGTTTTTCCCGCCCCGGAGAGACCTGTTCAGAACAGGCAAGATAGACTGACATTGTCTCTGTGTAAGATGAGAAAACTGTGGCCTGACCCAGCACTTGCAAGTGCAAATAATCCTTTATTTGTTGTTGCTTTTAGTTGCCATCTAGTTGATTCCTGCTCATAGGGAACCTGTGTCTGCAGAGTGAAACCAACCTACTCCACAGGGTTTCCAAGGCCATGATCTTTCAGAAGCAATCGCCAGGACTATCTCCTGACATGTCACTGGGTGGATTCAAACTATCTATGTTTAGGGTAGTAGCTGAGCGTTTAACATTTAAACCACCCACAGACTGCTCTGCACACATGGGGTCCCTCTGAGTCAGAATCAATTCGATAGCAACTAGTAAAAACAATCTCTCATTAGTTAAATCAAAACCAGTGATACCAGAAAAAGCATAATTGACTACAAGCCAATTACTTGCATCTCTTTCCAATTTTGAAAAAAATGATTTTGTCTCCTTTTAGGATGATAGTCTTTCAAAGTGAGTGGGGGAATCATTAAATAGGGAGACCTATGATCTTCGGTGTGTTCTGTTTTGCCTGCCATGTTTGTTTGTTTGTTTTGTTTTTAATTTTTAAAAAACTAGTGTGCGTGTTAAATATAAAAGTAACAAGATTTTTGCCATGTCAATATATTATTATTATTATTTTTAATGTTTTATTGTGAATTATGTGATAGTTTACATGGGAGAACATTAGTTTTACATTCATCCTATCGTATATTGTTTCATAGCTATGGTTATAATCCCTTCCATGCATCCAACCAAAGGGTATACACTACAAGCCTACCCACTGGCCATCAGCACATAGCCCCTCTCCCTCTCTGGGTCTAAAGTCCCCAGCTGCTCCATCTCTCCACGTCATCGTCTCGCATGTCAATATTTTTATGTGTGTAATTGAGTGACATTATTTACATCCATCGTGCTGTTCAACCATCACCACCATCCATTTCCCATGTTTTCCATCACTCTTCTTAATAGAAGCTCAGTGTCCCCTAACCAATGAGTTCCTGCAGTGTTTTAAAAACTAAAAAGCTGTGCATAAGAATGTAGATTCTGAATTTCTCTTGGAAAATTATATTCTCTGCTGACAATGGTTTCATATGCTCTCAGTTAGAGTAGAAGGGGACAGACAGCCCCCGTGGACTGGTAGGACCACTTCCCTTGTGTTTCCCATCAGTAACAATTTCACAACAGAGTCCACATTCTGTCCTTTGGCTTACAATGACTCTCAAAAGATGAAGCCAGAGAGCTACCCTGAGCTCGGCTGTAAGACCTGTAAAGCTGCCACACAGTCTCAGATATTTAGAGCCTTTACATGAGAATACAGTTGTCAAGTGCCTTTCTTCATGGCTTCATAGTAAAATGACTGAGAACATACTTTATAATTTCTATATGAGAGAGAAAGCCAAATGACTTTAGAGCTCAAAAACTGGAATTATGCTGGAATACTAGCACTCTAAAAGTTGTCCTCATGATCTCTGAATCTGAAGAATATTTCATCATGCAAAGTCACTGTCAAGACAGCACCGAGGATGGGAATGGAAATGGTAGAGAGAAAGAAAAAAAGCCAAGAGGTGAATACAGAGAAGATAGCAAGGAGAAAAGAGAAGAAAGTTGGGAAAAATAAAACAAAGGCAGGGATGAAGGATAAAGAGGCAAGGAGACTGGGTGGGTGGGTGGTGTGGTGTGGAAGGTGATTTGCAAGAGGAAAACATATAGTTCCTGTATTTGCTGTTGTGCTTTAAAGCCAGGCTCTTGGTCTTGACAGAGCATCATTCCAGAAAAGGCTACGCAAAGAATGTGTCTTCAGGCAGTTTTTGCTAACAACACCCTTTTACACATTGTTAATCATATGTTTATGTTACTGAATCTCATTTCAATAAAAAATTAGGTGATTTCTAAGAGAATTTATGTCAAATTGTGCTAGAGGAGTGCTGGGACTTCTGAGTCCTGTGGGATAATGCACTGTGGGATAATGCACTGGACCACCAGGTTGGTTTGAGCCACAGGTTGACAGTTCAAATTCACCAGCCGCTCCTCAGAAATCCTATACAGGGTCGCTATGGGTCAGAACCGACTCGATGGCACTTAGCAATAACAACAAGGATGCTCTTTGGCATCAGAAAATGAGAGAGAAACAGTCTTTTTCTTCAATTTTCAAGAAACTAAATGCTAAACCACAGAAACTATTAAACTGGATTGTTTGGCAAGCTTGTTTGAATACAATAAAAGGGATCTTCAAAAAGTTCTTAGGAAAAATGCATTATCCGTCAATTCCATTTCTCTACGAACTTTTTGCAGTTTCCTCATACATTGGGGTAACATTAATCACATTTACTGAGAACTTTATTTTGGGCCAGGCACTGTGCTAAGTGCATTTATGTTTTATATCATTTAGTCCTAAGGAGCCCTGGTGGTGCAGTAAGCTAGGCATTGGGCTGCTAATCACAAGGTCAGCAGTTCAAACCCACCAGCTGCTCTATGGAAGAAAGATGAAGTTGTCTGCTCCCATAAGGATTTTATAGTCTTAGAAACCCTATACAGGGTTGCTATGAGTCAGAACCGAGTCTCTGGCAGTGGTTCTTTTTGATTTTCATTTAGTCCTGTGAAACAGGTAATATCTTCATTCTTATTTTGCAAATAAGGAAACTGAGGCTTAGAGTGGTTTACTGGCTTGTCCAAAGTCACCCAGTTCATGTAGGCGGAACTGGTACCCTAATCTAAGACTCTGGCCTGCCTACCTGTGTAACATAAGAATGAAAAAATAAAAATGTAGTAAAATAAAATTGGAAAAGATGATCTTGTTGAAATTTTTTTAACAGTAAGTAAAAACAGCCGGTTATTTTCTCTTTTCCCAGTTCTCTTGTTCTTTACGAGGGTGTTCCTCCTCACTAGAGAAAATGCAGTCTGTATGTATGTGCCAATACAAAGCTGTTTCCATCAGCAAACGTCTCATGAAGGTAAACACATACCAAGATGGAAGCTTCTAGAATACATCTGTGTTTTACCTACTGCTACAAATCACATCTCTCAGAGTGAGTTGGGGGTAAACATTTTAACAACAGTGACTGGCGAACACTGTCTCTTTGAATGTCATAGGCTGCTTCTCTTTCTGGCTGGACAAAGTTGTTTTGATGCACACACCCAGGGATGAATGAAACCAGAAAGCCAAAGGCTTAGTACCACAGATGCAAAGTCTACGGAGGAGTCTATGAATTGTGCCCACCCCACAAAATATGTGTTGGAATCCTAATCTTGATACCTTTGGATGTAATACTGTTTAGAAATCAGGGTTTCTTATGTTAATGAGGACATACCAGTGTAGGATGTACCCTAAATTTATAAAAAAGAGCAGATTAGATACAGAGGCAGGCACACACTGGGGAGCCATGCCACGGAAGGTTCATCTATAAGCCAAGGAACCAGGGGATGCTTACAGCTCCTGACAGGGTAGGAGTTGACACTTTAGACAATAATTTGGACTTTTAGCTCCCAGATGGAAAAAATAAATTTCTGTTCTTTCAAATCACACATTTGTGTTATTTGTGTCAGAGCAGCACCAGGTAATGAAGACAGAGGGACAGAGAGTAACAGAAAAAGAAAAGGGAAAAAGATAAGAGGAATGAGGTTGGTTTGTGTAGGAAAGGGAATGACTTAGAATAGCGAAAAAAGTTGCAGGGCAGGTCCCTGCCTGCCACATTCTTTAGAATTATCTTCAGGTTTGAAGATACCTAATTTATCTTCAGAGCAGCATTGGTGAACAGTGACACATAAACCGATTGCATAACTAGGTAAACATTTATTTGCATCTGTGCTCATTTCCATTTGAAATGTCCTGTCTATGAAATGAACTTGATTTTTCCCTTTTGAGTTCAAACTGTGTCAGACTCACATTCCCAGGGAACAACTTCCTCCACTTTGTACTTAGAATATAAAGAAGTCTTAGGTTCTAATTCCAGTTCTTTTGCTATGCTTTAGATTTGGCAATCAGGTGGCTATAACAAAACAGATTCCTTTGGTCACCTCAGTGGCAGCAAGTTATCTCTGTATACCTAAGGAAATTACCAGCCAAACAGAACTATTAATTTTCCTTCTTGTATAGATTCTGATGTTTTTAACACTAAGCGAAATAGTTCCCTAGAATGTTAATTTCAGAAAACAAAAAAGAGTATCTCCAAACATCCAAAACTTCATGGTCAAACAAATAAATACTCAGTGCCATATTCGGAAAGTCCCATTATTAAGTGCCAATAAATGTGATAAGGCAGGAACATGAAATCTAGGGAATTCCTTAGAGCAACAAGAAATGTCACAATCAACTTGTCCCATCCAATCATACCAAAGAGCAATAACTGGGCTAGACATTCTGTGCCTTATTTCTAACTGCTGGCAGAGTCAGGTCTAAAACACAGACCTAACTAAATCTAAGGAGGGACTTTCTACTCCAGGCTTCAGCTTCATTTTAATGTAAAAATAAAACATGTACTTTCTTTAGAATGCATGACTTATATCACATAGAAACTTTCAACTTAAAAAAAAAAAAAAAGATCTATGCCTATAAAGACATATCATACCTGTTAGCCACACAGTGCATCCTCGGAATCCACCCTTTGTTCCTACCACCTGTCCTCGCTTATTCCTGCTCACGTGGTGGGCCTGGTAGACCACGTTAGTGGATTTCTGCTGGTTCTCCTACAAAATAAGACAAGACAAATTACGATATTGGATTAATAAAATGCAAATTTAGTGGAGCAATATAAATACATTTTAGCCTTTGAAAATTGCAAATTGATAGATGTAACAGCTTATATGGAAGACATTTTTTAAAAGGATGCCGTGTGCTTGTCTTTCCTTGTACATTTGTTTTCCATTTCTGCAGACTACCTAAGGATGCTGTCTACATGTATGTGTTTTTCATAGTTGTGAGAATGTGCCCCAACTTTATGCATTCTGCATCTTTCATTTAATGCTATTCCTAAGGAGTTTTGTTTTAAATAGTAATTTAAAATTATTATACAAGTCGTTGGTTGATATAAAACAACTTACTAAAATACTATAAAACTATAATTCCATAACACATCAATGATCTTTTCTAAATGAAACCCTGTTTCTATAATTGGTTTGCAGGGTAACATGTATTAATTGTAATTTAGTAGCAGACATTGTTCTTAGAGTTGCAACCATGATCTTTCCGAAAACATAATTCAAATTAGATAACTTTTGATATTATGTAATAGTTTCCACCATTCATCTGTGAGTTTGTCCTTGAATTTTAAAGTCCATGGTACAAAGAATGTAGTTTACTTTCAGAGGATTTGTTCACTCAGGGAAAGCACCGTCAGCATATCTCATAGACTAACTTAACTTGTCCACATTTATAAATCCCATTATCCATAGAAACAGGGAGAGGCTCAGATTACAGGGGCAGAAGATTAAAGTCAGTAATACTTTTTCCCTTCCACCAAGACATCGGCGATGCCAAACTACTAGTTCTAGAGTGGAGGATACGGGGCACTGTACTACTTAAAAAGAACTAATCTCTGTGTACACTCTCCCAAGAATCAGCGTATGACTCAACCTTGTGGTCCAGTGCATTATCCTGCAGCGCCACACCAGGACTCCTCATTGTTAATGAATGTCATCCAATTCAAGAATATTGTACCTAGTCCAAAAGTCAGTTCATCTGTTCACTCATACGTTATTGCAATAAATGTTTATTGAATTCCTGCTACTTGACAGGAATCATCCGAGGTTAAATACAGCATTAAAGAGTGCAGAGTCCTTGGCATCAGTTTTGGGGCAAGAGACAAACAAAGATCAACTATCTGGAATCCCACTCCCTTGGGGAAGAGGAGAGTTTCACACATAGATCTGACAAAGGATTAGTGTGTATAGTATATGAAGGTAGACAAGGAATACCTGCAACTCAGTAAGGGAAAGATTTTTTTTTTTAATGAAAAAACAGTTGTAGAGTCACATCACAAAGGGAGTTATAAAACAATCAGTACGCACATAAAGAAATGCTTCATGTCATTTAATGAGAGAAATGTAAATTAAATCCAAAATGAGCCTCCTCTGTTAACACAAGGGCAGCAAGGGTGTGCTCTGATACGTTGATGTTCGAGGTATAAAGTCATACAACCATCTGGGGGATAAAAAGCCTGACAATTTCCTATAAAAGTAGCCTTCTGATGTAGCCATTCTAGTTATAGCTGGTTACCCAAGAGCAATGAAAATGGTTTTTCACAGAAAGATTTATACGACAATGTTCTGAACTTCATTTGGTCCCAAACTAGAAACCATCAAGTGTTCATCAGTAGGAAAGTAGATAAAACAAAAACAAAACCTATACAATGCTCGTATGTAATACTCCACAGCACTAAAAAGGGAGCAGACTACAAATACACACCACATGGATGCATCTGACAGACATTTTGCAGAGTTAAAAAAAAAGCCTTACACTAAAAAAATACATACTGTATGAATCTACTTACCCAAAGTCCCAGAAGAGGCAAAGCTAATTTAGTCATTTAAGTTAGGGCAGCAGTTGGCTCTGGGACAAAGACAGTGTTTATTCTATGTCTTGGGCAGGTGTTTGCATTTGTTGGAACTCACTGAATGTACACTTAAGTGAGGCATTTCATTATATTTAAATGTTACCACATACAAAAAAGGAGTCATGAAACACACCCACATGTACCAAGTAACCCAAAAAGAACAGACACAAGGGAACTTCCAAACGTTTGTGGAAATTTTTCATTATCTTTTGATTCTACTTTTCCATGACCTTTTTGAAATCCTCTTTTTTAATAAGAGTTCAGATGGTAGAATTATGTTGTTCAACATTGCTGCATTTATTAAATTTAAGGGACCGCTGCCCATCTCTGCACACAAACACCCAAAAGATGGCTTTTTCTCTCTTTCGGCAATTCCTTTTCCATACAGGCAGAATTCCAAAATAAACTCCAGACTCTGGGTATCTTCTGTGGGAACTGCATTAACCAATCTTGTTAATTGCCTCTCTTAGACAATGTTGGCTTTAAAAAATAGTTCAGAGGTCACCAGAAGGAACTCCTCAAAATAATACTTAATATTTAATCTCTGAACTTTGGTCTTTAGTCTTGTTGTTGTTAAGTGCTGTTGAGTTGGTTCCAACTCATAGTGACCCTGAATAGAGTTTCCAAGGCTTTAAATCTTTGTGGGAGCAGATTTCTCCTGCAGAGAGCCTGGTAGATTTGAACCCCTGACCTTGTGGTTTGCAGTTCAGTGCTTATCATACAGAGCAACCACGCCCCCTTGATCTTTATTTATATTCTGACTCACAGCGATCCTATATAGGATTTCCATGGAGTGGCTAGTGAATTTGAACCAACGACTTTGTGGTTCAAACTGACCTTGTGGTCCAGTGCTTTATGGCACAGTACCACACCAAATGTTTATTACGGGTTTTGTACAGCTTTTCTTTCACTACAACAATGCTTAAACAAGCAAATAAAATATTTTCAGATGACAGGGTACTGAGCGTTTTGTTTTGTTTTTGCTCATTATTTCAAATTCACCCTTGATTTCCAGCAAATGTAAACAAAACACATGCAGTTGTTTTGAAGGATATTTGAACTGCAAAGGGATAGATAGCCAAATATCTTTCTTGCTGAAACCCTTAAACTCTTCGAAATAGCACAAGCTGTTCAAAGCTTTAGAAAGACAGTGGATGTCAGAAAGATGATATGCTATAAAAAAACAAAACACATGTTATCAACAACCACAAAACACCCTAAACAAACTTTCTGGAACTTGCCTTCCTGGGTATCAACAGTATAAAAATGTCCTCAGCCCTCATCCTACATTGTCACTGAGGAGGAAGTGGCCCAGAAACCACAGAGTTGGTGGCTGACTTCTATTTTTGATCCCCGAAGAAACATTTTACAAACCTGTCTACCTTCTTCCAGGTCAGTGGCCCAGAAAACCCCTCTCCAGCATGCACAAGCATGTATCAGGCAAAGCTCAGTTTGAAATCTGCATCACCACCTGCAATCTCGAGCAAGTTACTAACAACATCTCTCAACTTCCCACTTTCTCCTCTGTAACACGGGAATATGTTTTTAGAGAGACTGAAATAAATCGTGATCTGTATAAAGTATCAAACAAAATACACATGATAGGATACTGAATCTGATGAAGCCCAGGTGGTATTTATCTAGCTGGCAGAAAAGATAGTGGTTAGAGGTCTAAGTCATCAGATTTATGAAGTGTTCTAGGGATTTGAACCCACACGGGAGAAAGATGAGGCTCTCTACTCCCGTAAAGATTTACAGCCTCGGAAACCCTGTACAGGGTCACTATGGGTCGGAACTGACTCGATGGCACTTAACAACAACAACAACTAAGGCAAGTTAACAACAACAACAAAGTAAGTCTAGGAAGTTTGGGCTCAAGATCAAATCAAACATGGAGTTATTAGTACATTACTCGATCTACCAGAGTGTAGCATAGTGGTTACAAATCGGGCTGCGAACCTCAAGGTCAGCAGTTTGAAACTACCAGCTGTTCTGTGGGAGAAAGATGAGGCTTTCTGCTCCCATAAAGATTTACAGCCTTGGAAACCCCAAACAGGGTCACTATGAGTTGGAACCGACTCCACGGCACACTACTACCACCACCACCATAGAGTGTAGAAAGCACAGTGGAGGGAACGCAGTGGCTCTGTAGGATAAGCACTGGCCTGAACACCACAGAGGTCTTCGGCTAGAATCCACCAACTGCTTTGCTGGAGAAGGATGAGGGTTTCTGCTCCCACAAAGATTCATATACACTGTGAGTCAGAACCAAATCAATGGCACTTAATAACCATAGAGTATATCGTCCAAAGTGAAATCACTGAGTATTAAAAATCATTGTGATTGTTATTTTGCCCCTAAGCCCAGCCAGGAAGTAGGACATCCTGAAGTGTGCCAAGCTGAAGCCTCCTCATTTTACTCTAATCTTCCTACACTAACCCTAGCTGTGCCAAGTCATGACCCCATTGTTGCCGGGATTAGGGAATGGCCTTTGCTCCAGGGTCAATTTCCTGAGTGCCCTAGACTTCAGAACTTGTCATAAAGCCCAAGATTGTCTCACAGCTCTCTGCCAGGCCCACCCCTCACTCCCATTGGTGGCACAGAAGGAGGAGTGCAGAAGCAGCTTCTGGGGGTGGTGCTTGGCAAAAGCCTAAGTTTGATTCTGCATGACTAGAAGAGAAGAATCAGCGAAGGGAAGAGCTGATGAGGCATCAATCACTGTGTGTCACGGTAAGGAGTGTTATGAAACGAAGGCATAGAGGAATGTGTAAGTCAGAAACCAGGTGTTGAGTTTCCCAGTGTTCAAAGGTCTTTCAAGGTGTGTCTAATGGCTTCAATAAAAAGTAAGCAAATACATTTGTTTTTCAATTCTCCCACTGAGATCGAGTCTATTCCAAATCATAGTGATCCTTTGTAGGGGTTCTGAGGCTTTAAATTTTTACAGGAGTCTTGGTGTGGTGGGTGTAGGATAAGCACTGGTCTGCAGTTCACACCCACCAGCCACTCCTTGGAAACCCTATACAGGGTCGCTATGAGTTGGAACTGACTTGACTTAATGGCACTTAACAACAACAACAAAGCTTTACCGTCTCAAATTTCTCCCACGGAGCAACTGGTGGACTCAAATTGCTGACCTTGCTGTTAGGAGTCCAATATGTAACCCATTATAAATGCCACCAGGCCTCAGCACCTACTCTAAGCAAACTCTGAGAGGCAGAGGAGAGTCCCCCCATCTACTGCTGCTGAGCCGATTCCCACTCAGCGTGACCCTATAGAGCAACGCAGAACTGCTCCATCAGGTTTCCAAGACTGTAAATCGTTACCGGAGCAGACAGCCTCACCTTTCTCCTAAGGAGTGGCTGGTGGGTTGGAATTGCTGACCTTGTGGTTAGCAGCTCAACACTTAACCCACCAGGGCTCCTTAAAGGAGGCTAACACAAGTGAAATTGACCAATTTAGTTTTATAGTCGTAATTAAAAGGCAACAGAAGACAAGATAATATAAGGGCTTAATTTTGATTTAATGTTAATTAGCTGTAATATGGAGTAGCTTGGAGGCACAAATGATTAACAACTGACAGAAAAGTTGGGGATTACAACCAACCCAAAGGTACTGCTGAAGATAAACCTGAGAATCTGCTTCCAGAAGGCAACAGCCTTGAAACCAACCTTACAGCAGTTCCAGTCTGTACACATGGGGAAATCGAGTTTTGTTCTACATTTTTCTCTCTTGCTATTCAGGACCTTCTATTGTATCCCTGGTCAGAATGGTCAGTAGTGATAGCCGGGCACCATCTAGTTCTACTCATCCCTGACATGGTTCATGTGAGCTATTAATCCTGTGGACTAGTTTCTTCTTTGAGACTTTAGTTACCTTCATTCTCTTTAGGTCCAGAGGAGTAGAACCAATAGTTGTATTTAAATGGCCACTAAGTAAGCTTTTAAGAGACCAGATGTTACTCACCAAGCTAGGATGTAAAATTTTATTTTTAGAAATTTTATTTTTGTTGTTGTTGTTAGGTGCCGTAGAGTCAGTTCTGACTCATAGCAACCCTATGCACAATAGAATGAAACACTGCCCGGTCCTGCGCCTTCCTCACAATTGTTGTTACACTTGAGCTATCGCTGCTGCCACTGTGCCAAGCCACCTTGTTGGCGGGGATCTACCTCTTTTTTCCCTGACCCATATTTTCCAACTACTAATCCTTCCTCTTTTGTTTCCAGTTTTCATACTCCAATCATCGGTAACTATCAGTGCACCTTGATTGTATGTTTGATCAATTTCAGACTGGAGAAGTAGGTTGTTGTTACTGTTATTGTTGAGAGCCGTTGAGTGTTCCAACTCATAGAGAGCCCCAGTATACAGTTTCTGAGGCTGTACATCTTTGCAGGAGCAGAAAGCTTCATCTTTCTCCCATGAAGTGGCTGGTGGGCTTGAACCATGGGCCTTGTGGTTCACAATCCAGTGCTAGTTGTACAGAGCCACCGTGCCCTTCGAAGAAGTTGATAGAAATCTTCAATTTCATCATCAGTGGCTTAAGTGGTTGGTGAGTAAATCTGAAAAATAGTGATATTAACTGGCCTTTCTGATAAGTATATGGATATTATCCTACCATAAAAAGCATTGTTTGTTAAATTCACAATAAAAGCTTAAAAAAGAAAAAGCATTGTTTGTTGTTGTTAAGTGTCTTCTAGTTGATTCAGAACCATAGCAATCCTGAATAGGGTTTCTGAGGAGCAACCGGTAAGCTTGAACTGCTGACCTTGAAATCCAGCACATTAACCACAGCGCCACACCAGGTACCATGATACTTCAAGATAAATTGTACATAAGGAAGTACATTGTACACACCATTGTACTTCAAGATAAATCTTGAAACACTCTATTTGATGATAAAAATGATGCCATTCTTCTTCAGTTTGTGGTTCACAGAATCGTAAACTGTATGACTGTCTGATTCAAAATGACCAATA